AGATCAAATGGTAAGTAAATGCTACACAGAAGTCACAAAATAAATAACTGTTTTATTTATCTTTTTTTTTCTTAAATTATGTTACAGCTTTTTAATAATAAAAAACAAATATTAAAATGTCATATAACTCTTGAAGAAAGAGCTGAAATAATCATTTCACTTCAAAATGGATATACCACAAGAAAAATAGCAAGAACTCATAAAATTAGTTCTTCTATCATCTCACATATTAATAAAAAATGGCATGAATAACACATTTTAAATGATTTAAGTAAGTCTGATTATCTACAATTATTAAATAACCAGTTAGAAAGAATAACAGTCTGTCTTATTACATCTCATAACTATTTCATTGCCATTACTATTCAAAATCATCTTCATAAAACTGAGAATATCAAAATTTCAAAGCATATTATTTATCATACACTAAAAAAAAATAGTTTAATAGCAAGAATAAAACAAAAAAAATCATATTTAAAGCCCAAATATCAATAACATTATCTTGAGTTTACCAAAAAATATAAAAACTGGATCTATAAAGATTGATCAAAAATAATCTGGTCTGACGAATCTAAATTTCAGATTTTTGGATCTGATAGAAAATAATATTATTGGAAAAGAACAGATGAGTTATTAAAAAATCATCATATTAAACCTATGGTAAAATTTGGTGGTGGTAAAGTAATGGTATGAAATTGTTTTATCTTTCACAATGTTAACAACTTTTGTAAGATTGATGAGAACATGAATGACATATTATATCAACAAATTCTTGAAGAAGATCTTATGAATACTATTAAAGAACATGAATTAGTTATCAATGAGATCATTTTCCAATAGGATAATAATTCCAAGTATATAGCCAATTTGATGAAAGAGTAATTTGATAATAATAATATTACTATTTTAGATTGGCTAGCACAATCACCTGATCTAAATCCAATTAAATATTTATGGAATAAAGTAGATTGTTGTCTTCAGTATCTTCCTGGATCAATTTCAGGTATGAAAGACTTATAGGAAAAAATATAGCAAGTTTGGGAGAAAATTAATGTAAATTATTACATAAATTTAATTTGTTCTATGCCAGAAAGAATTTGTGATGTAATAAAAGCACATGGTGATTATACTAGATGGTAGTATATCAGGTATAGTTAAAAAATAAAAAAATATGATGTTTTTATTTTATATTAAGAATTATACAAATTTATATTAAAAATGAGCAAAAATAATGCAACACTAAAAATTAAATAAATATTGCAATTGTAATATAATTGGTTTAATTATCCATGTTGAATTTATCATATTTAAGTTATTTGCATATACATAATTAAATTTATCAACTATAATTTGATGTTCTTAAGTCTGTGTAAAGATATCATGATTTAATAATTTTTAATTTTATATTGCATTACTTTTGATCGCCACTGTATATAATAAATTATTATTTATAATTAATAATTTAATATTAAAATTAAGCTGATTTAAAATATATTACGAATTAATATTATATTAATAATTTATTAAAATTAAGCTACTTATAACAAAAAATATAATTATTTTGATAGGAAATAAGTAACTTTATTTAAACCACTGGTTTGAATCACCAGTTTGAACCATACAATTTGAGTAATTTACTAAAGTTTGAGATTATTATTTTATTTGTTTTTATTATTATGTATTCACAATTATAACTTTTTAAAAAATTCACAATTTTGTTTAAAAAATCTCCAAACCATCATACTAAAAATTCCTAATTACTATTACCATCATCATTGATTATGTCAAGTTCACGCACAGCGTTTTTTATTATCTGTGCTATAGTACGCTCAGATCTCCACCTACGTTCCCACTGAGTTATTCTTATTAGTTTGCGACTATTATCTACATCAATATCATTATCCTCAGTATCATCATCGGCGCAGTAGTTATTGCTATTAGCATTATCATTATACTCTTCATTAATACAAGCTTGATCCTCTCCACTAGCAACTTTATCTTTCCAGCTATTAAGCCACGCCCCAAAAAAACCATCGATTATCTTGAATCCACTGTAAACGGACAGTGCTTTATAGATTTTTAGTCTTAGTGACGTATTTACGCGTTTTATCGCGAGACATCGAAAGAACTCGGTCATCCATGTGTCACGTGCGGTGGCGGGTGAGAATAGTCGTGAAGGCGCGTTTGGAGATAGTTTTCTTTTTTAATCATAATATCGCATGTTAAGGAGGTGTAAATCATAATTTATAATTAGAAATATAAAAAGAATACATACTCTGAAAGTATAAGTCTCTTGAGTGCCTCCGAAATAGTAGATAAACTATCATCTCCATACTCTATACGTTGCAACATTAATTCGGCGATATTTTGATGAGCATCAAATATAATCGCATTCTTTTCTCTCTTCTTGTTAATTTTTTTCTCGGCCTTTCCTAATAAAATCACGTACAAACAATCATCCAATCGATAATGATGTTTGCAATATAAAATCAGAATCCAAGAAATCAAGAAAATAAATCTAGTCATTATTTATTCACTTACTAATAAGCTTTTTGTAATATTTACACAATGGTCTAAGCACTAATTGTTCAGGAGAAGAAGGATCCATACGATGATAAATTTTTCCTGCATTGACCCATTCTATTTCTTCGTCATGTTTGTAATTATACAAAATCTCAAATAGAAGCCTGAAATAAGTAAATGTCAATATAGATATAGATAATTACTCGATCATTCTATATGTCAATAATGCAGAAAATAAATTTATTTATTCACCTGTGCCCACTCAAAATATTCGGATTTTGATCGATATATTTCCTTGTCATAAGCAAGGCTTCAGCAACATTATTCATACTCGTTTGCAACTAATAAATAATATATATACAATAAGATGTATAACATTATATATATATATATAGACATATATACATGGAGTACACATACCCGAACATAATACACCAAAAATATATCATTCGAAAGTTCAATAGACAAAGAGTTCTTCAAATTAATTGTAGCCACGCGATAATATTTTTGAAATCTCGTTCGGTCATCAAAAATGTTGTCATCATTATCTTTTAGCATAAACCAGTATGTTGAAAATCTTGTTGACTCCATTAAATTCAGTCGTATAGCTTCTTGTTCCCATAATCCATACGTTAATATCCCAAAATATCCAAGAAAAAGTGGATTATTACAGTATAAAGCATGGCCTTGTGTATATCTTTTTATTTTTGTGCAAATTTGTTAAAATTAAGAAATGCTTTTTAATACTGATAAGAATGATACTAATCACAATTATAATTCGTGTTTACGTACGGATTAAGTAATTCGAATGTCCGTTCAGAATTACCATTTTTTAAATGAAAGAATCCTAATTCGAGATACAGCTCTGGACGCTAATTAATTATTTGATTAATTAATCGGTAATTAATATTATAAAAAATATGCATTATATATACTTTAATCAAACTTACGCGACGATTATTACATCCAATAAATAAATTAAACATTTTCACACATTCGTTGTTATTAGGCGATAAATTCTTCATCACGTCTAAGGAAAACTATGTATGCGATAATTAATTGATTTTTCCTGTCCTGTAGATTCTTTGCCTTAAACAAATTTCTTTATATCAATCGATCAATTAATTCTGTAAGCTTATTTTTAAGTGATGTGATTAGATCTCGATCTATTACACCCAATATTCAAAGTCAGTACCTGCCAAAGAGTCGTCAAAGAAATTTCTGAAACATCTGACAAAATTGCGAGAATCTTATTTGCACGTAAATAATTTTGCTGTAAAAGACTTGTCTTTAACAAGTTTAATAGCATGTAGATGTGAGCTACTCGCACGGATAGCATTCGCGTCCTTTTTTTGCCGGAAACTATGTCGTAGAACCAGCCATTTGGATAGAAACGCAATTCGTGAGATCGGTTTTCGTAATCGAATTCAGTGCCTTCTTCCTTTTCTTTCCTTGTTTTTCGCTTTTTTCTCGCTTTTGGCATTATTATTTACAAATATTTTTGCTGAGAAAAATTATTGCATATGAAAGTTACATTAAAATTTTGCAAGGAACATTTTTTGTTATGTTATTTTTCAAAAATATAACAGTGTGTTAGGAGTTAACCAATAGGAATGAAATTTAAATCGACCATTGCCACTCAAAAATTATTTTTTGACACGTGATGTGACTTTTCTTTTACAAGGTCGAAAGCACGGATTTCATTCAACATGTATATACACAATTCATTTTCTATAACAAATGACACTATACAAAATAAAATATAAATTATGATTTACTGTTTTACACTTTCTATCGTATTACTCTGTTTCTACTGGTACTTCAGCCCTACTACCACTATCGTTATTTTTATGTCCACAATGTAAATGGACAATATCTTTATTAGGCTGTCGCATAAACATGGATTCGTTTATAACTTTATCGCATGAGGCGCATGGTAAATCGGGTGTGATGACAATAGGACCAATTTCTTCGTAGGCTTTGTAAAGTTCGGAGTTTACCTGTTTTGTATAGTAAGAATTTTTAAATTTTATGCCATATCATAGACAGTGATATCCAAATATATTGCTGTTCGTACCATCATATTCTCGCCGCGGGTTAACCCTTTCAAAATTTGCGACTCGCGGTAATCATGATAACTTTGTCGAAGTGAACGTATTAGAAAGTCACTCAACATCTCAATTGACCATACTTCTGGTAATAACCCAAGAACCTAATAATAATCAATTATTCACACAAACATAAGGGGACAGTAGATATGATGCATAATATAGAATAGAAATAAATATAAATCACGAACCTCAACAATGTTCATATAACCAGCATGCTTATTCAACAGAATAATAATCTGATCAACGGAATGATCTCTTTTAATTAAATGAAAGGGAAATCAAAATTTTATCACAGAACATAATTTCATTGATGGAATACAGAATAATTTTTATACGTACCCGTTCTTCATCTCTAAATAAACTTTAAGCAATTTTAAAAACAAAGCTCGTCGTAATCCTATCAAACTTTTATCTTCCAATATTCGTTGATTGTCCTGAGTTTGTCGCTTTAACGCAGCAGGCGATAATAATACAGAAGTTTTCTCATTCATGCCAATCATTCGACCAGCGTATAGACAAAAAGTTTCGGCGCCACGATAATCTTTCAATTGATCAACCAATATATGCAGTGATTTCTCGTGTTCGTTTAACTTTGAAACATTTTAGTCAATTAGATAAAATTTATGGGTCTAATATAGTACCATTTTTAGTTTAAAATAATAATCTTACTTTTCCGTAAACTATGGCTAACTCCGGATATAAATCTTGCTTGGATTCAAGTAATTTTTCTAGGACGACTTTATCTTCGTAGCGTGTTGATTGCTGCATAAACATTATAGCTTTGAGTCGTGCGTGAGATATTCTATCGTCTGGTGGTCGATTTGATAAAAATGATATATATGTTATCGAGAAATTTTTGTTTATAGATTGAAACTCTTTTGCTATGTTTTTCAAATTAAAAAGAAAAATAGTGATTAAATACTAATCGAGAAATGGCGCTAAAAAAAACCTAATTTAAATGAACTTACTTAATTTTACTAGTTTGGCTTTATCTTCTTCCTTTTCTAATTCACGCAGAATTGCTTCAATATACAACAATAAAAGTTTCGTGTGATGCGATTCTTCCTGAATTTTATTGATCTTTAATAAATTTCCTATCACGGGTATAAATGCAAAAAAAGGAAATCTTAAAAAATACCTCGCTTTTCCGTCGCAAAATTAAATATTCTAAATAATTTGTCAAGCCTTCGTAGCCTACAGAACCCAGCGCTTCGATGACTTTCTTTGGCTCTACGATGTGAGGTTTTCGCGAATTCGGTCTAATAAATATCTTTTTGATCGCAAATTAGCTCCAGTATGTTCTAGTGTAAAGAAATTAGCGTAGGAACGTTACCTACCTGAGCTCCTAATACTTGATCCTTGGATATGACCCAGCTCGCGTATTCCCATACCAAATCCGAGTCATCTATCTGTGTTAAAAGTTCTGTCATCTGCTTTAAACCATTTTCGAAATCAGGATCCGGTTTCCCATCTTCTATCATTCTAGAGAGGAAAAATGCACCCATTACTACATAAACCGTACATTCAATCACGTCTTGACTCCATGTATTCATGAAAGACAAATTGACTACCTACTGTTGCCAAATTTTCAATGTTTTTGCATATTGTTTTTTATTTTTATATAAAAGGGAAAGTGCATAATATTTTCCATGATTTTTTAAAACAAATTCGCAATCTTCCAATGTACATTCGTTCTCATCTTGCAACAATGAAATCAAAGGTTTTCTTGAATCTGAAGTAGCATATAATCGTACAAGAGCATTATCCACCGACTTTGTGAAACAATAAATAGTTTAATATGTGTGCTAAGGCTAAAAATATAACATAAATCAACAATAAATTACTTACCTTTAGGATATTACGATCAAGTGGACTTTTACTTGATTTGCGTTTTTGCCGATCTTGGGCTAAATATTTTTGCAGCATTTCATTCGCATGGGTTAATAATTGCTTACGGAGCCCTTGAGTTGCTGGTGATGACTGGATGTCAGGTTTTATATGTGGTTCATAATTTTTGATCAAGCTTTGAAATACTATTGAAAGCGAATATGGCAAAATAAATAATAGGAAATGATGGCTTGAAAATGGTAAACAACAATTGAATACTACGTACCAACATCGTCAATGCTGCCTAATTTATCTAAAACAGATTTAACGCCTGCATAAACATGTAAACTAAAATCTTCATTAACCAAATGCTTCAAATCCGGAAATAGCCCAATAACTACTCTAGGATCGGTATGTCCACGATCAAGATAATCACATGCAAGATCAAACAAAGTCAACGAAATGAACATGAATCCAGATTTTTGATAAATATAATCTAATTCGTGTTGCTGTAAATTTTAAAAAAAATTAACCACATATAGCATATAATTTGTAAAAAAATAATCATCTAGTCTTACCATTCTTTCTCGATGCACGTTATCTGCAAGTCTTGTCATAGCTTGATCAGCATGTGCCAACCCCTCTTCTATACGATTAGCATCCAGCAATGAATCAACCTGACAAAATTTTATCTTAAGTTAAAATTATCATAAAAATTTTATTGGATTGATGTTCTAGTAGCAAACCTGAAGAATTAGAGGTGATGGCGCTAAAGCCAATATAGAATCTCGTGCTGCTATTATTATTCGAGTTGGTACTGTTGCGATGGAGTCCAATTGAGGTATTTCAGGAATTGATGGTAAATTTTTTGAATTTACTTTTGAATCATCATCATCTTTTCTCGAGTTCAAAGCAGGTTCATTCTCTCCTTCAGAAACATGAGAATCATCATCATTCATTCTCGAGTTCAAAGCAGGTTCATTCTCTCCTTCAGAAACATGAGAATCATCATCATCTTTAAAAGCAAATCCATTTTCCCATCTTAATCGTTCAAGTAACGCAGATACCCATACTTTAATTCCCGGCCCTTGCGATATAGTTCGTGCCTCAGCAGGATCCAGTTGTACAGTTTGCACTAAACTTTGATCCACCACATTATGTATCTCTATCGTATTGTTACGAAGCAATGCTACAACGTATGGATATTCAACTCCTGAAAACCGTCAAAAATATTTTTTGTATTAGAATTACGAAAAACTAACTCATTAATATATTTCCTAACGCAAAAATCATTAACCTATTGATCTTGGAAAACTTGTCCATTGTAATGTTCCACGAACAGGTTCACCAGTCGAAGACATAAATTGACCAATTATAGTATTCTGTAATAACATAAGCGATTGTTAAGGAAAAAACCGATATCGACTTTGATCAAATATTATTTTTGTTTGATTACGTTTTTAATTATTTATTAAAGGATATGACCAGCATTCTGAGGCAACACCAACAAAAATTCTCCTTTTTCTACAACAGTCACTATTGGTTTAAATGTTCCAGTCCCGTATATCGAGCCACGCTCCGGGGGCTGAGGTGTTATCAAATCGATCATGCGCTTACATTGAAGATCGACGAGTCTATAATAATTCGTGTTATCAGCAATATACAAAGAAGCACCATACTGACAACAAACGGTACCCAATTCCACATTCGGTAATGGTATGTTCTCCTGAATTAAAAAATTGCGTTAATACCGTTAATACAAGTATTTTATTGTTTTTATTGCAATCAATGGGCAACGACATACCGAACTTTCTACTAAATTTTCAAGCAATGAAAATTCGTGAATTGCGCGTTTTTTCAGTACACATAGTTTTACGGAACCGTCAATTTCCGTTTGTCCTTCTTTTGCGAGATCATGCGTGAAACATGTGACACCTTTGATATGAGGAAATGCGCTAACAGGCAAGGGTGACATCTCTGGAAGTGTATAGAATGATAACGTGGAATCTGTACAATAGAAAAAAAATGTAAATATTACTTTTTCTTTTTCGAATATTCTCCGTGATGATGATACTTGCCGCATAGTATTACAGCTTTTTGGATCTGCGGTAATAGTAGTATACGTTCGACGAGTTTTCGACCAAAACCCAGTTTTAGTTTATCAATTAAATAACTTTTTGGAATGGGCTTTTTGTATCATTTAAAATTTCAATTTGACCATTACATAATATATATACATATATAAGGAAATTTTGAAATTGGTATCGTTATAAATGGAAAAATTAGACGTAATAATAATTATTGAGTTTCAAATTGTACATACATTATCTGAATTTATGTGATCTTCGAGAACATAGTGAATTATATTTCCATCGGACGTTCCTATATATATATTTTTTTCTGGAAAGTACGCGTAAGAATGAATTTCAAAATATTAATACTGTTTATTTAATTGTAATTTAGCTTTTTACTAACTAGATTAAAATAATTTTTGGGACATTTGCTATATTATTTAAAGAATGCTCATTAAAAATTCTAATGCTAATTTGCGTTACATTTGACAAAAAAAAATTCATTTTAGAGACAATTTAATGCGTGCATACCCCAAGCCTCAACAGTTTCCACAGTAACACGGTTATCCCTAGAACCCCAGCCTATGCCACTGCCAAAACGCGTGCCACTTCCTGTGCCGCTAGAAATAACGTTTGCACGGCGATGAAAGAGTGAAATTGAAGAGGGGGCGGGATTAGTAGTTTGCGAAGACGTGGCAGACTGTTGTTGGGTGTCTTCGAGAGCAAGGTCACTTATTAATTTCTGTAATGTAAATGGGGTTAACGGCATAGTTGTAAGGTGAATAATAAATAAGGTGTGATAGAAATTTATTCAATTTGTACAATCTTTATGCATCGTGGATTGTTTATTTTTTTTCGAGTGGACCCTGCAGATCGATACGACAGATCGTTTTTCGTTTCAATTATAGTTAATTTTTATCCTTAATCAATTACCATGGGAGTCATACATATTGGTAGATAATACTAATTAAATCTCTTAATAGCCAGATATTACTAATAATGACTTTTGGTTTCTCAAATAAATTATAAAGTACTTTTCAAGGTGAATGTAAGTATTTATATGAATCTATCTATGAAATCTATCGATAGCAAGTTACAATCCGTCAAAATAACGTTGTTGATAGGCGGATACTTCGGAAGAGGCAATCAATAAAGCACTTTCAGAGGTTATTTTACTAAAAGAAAAGATTCCGGAAATTGTGAAGGCATCGGGTGAATATTTTTATTTCAGTTTTTCAAGGTGGATAAGAAAGATTTAGAAGTTCATGCTTGATTTTTCATTAGCTGGTAAAAATTTTACAGATCGAGCAAAAGGATATGAATACGGTAAAGAGAAAAAAATCGATCATTTGAAAAATTACCCGTTCTCTAAACTATTCTTGATTTAATAATATTTTCATCGGCTGATTCCAATTCATTTAGCTTTGGTCATTGAGTTATCCTCAAAAGAGGTGAATATTTAAGAGATTAATAATTATAGTTTTTTCATCTATATAGAGTAAAGCTTTGACGTTGAACATTATTATTTTTAGGATCTTCAAACCTACTTGAATCATGAGGATCACGTTGAATTTAAATCACAATATTTGACGCCAATTATGCAAGGTTTTACTGTTCACATGTTGATATACAGATAATTAAGAGATTATTTTTTATTTACCAACTTTTTTATATAAATTTTAGATTGTTTGGCTTTTGATTTCGAAAATTAACTTCTATAGCCGAATGATCTGAAAGCTGATAATATTATAATCTATAAATACGATAAGCATAAACATATATACATAATATACATATTTTATTAAACCATTTAATTATATATTAGATTTCTGTACTGGTGACTCCGTAATTGTATTTCTTCTACTTTAGCAATTCTTTGTGCAGCAAATACCAACTCTGGATAAGTCCGTAAAATATCATCTAATGTTTGAATTTTCACGATAGATTTATCAGTATTATTACTAGAAGTAGTTTCTTCAAGCATATCATTAATTATTATCGATTTTCCGGATCTCATATCTTCGAGCACTCGCCATAACAAAAGTAATGTTTTTTTCTGCGGGTAGAATGGTTTGGCTTTTTTTCGTGCTAATGCTTCATTTTTTTGAGATCTAAGTACCTCTAATGGCTTCTCATATTCCAGGCGCCAGAATGCAAATTTTGGGTCCCATCCTTGTATTAATCGATCTTTTATTATATTACACGCTTGTATAATTTTTCGGGAAAGTATTAACATACATACATATTTATTTAAGTTGTCAGAGTCAAATGGAAAGCCTTCGGATTGGAGTTTTTGCCACTCCTTCTCAACAAGGTCGTATCTCTTTGACGACATTAACGCGTCAAAGAGTATGGATATTGCATGAGGTGGTGGTGTTATAGGATTTGATTTCGGTATAGACTCTAAGATTGATGATCCCTTTATAAGTCTTTCATTTGATGAATCTATTGACTTAAGATTCGGCGAGAATGAGGACGAGGATTCTGCAAGTTTTTCAGATTCCAGATCTTTACGCATAGCCTGCCATATATTCCAAACACCTTCATAATCTCCAATAGTACGACATGCATCCATTAGAATTGTGTATGCATGTCCTTGAGGTCGTATTCCCTGAGCAATCATTTCAGCAAATATCTCTTTAGCCTCTTCAAATTGTCCTTGTTTTGCATAAGCGTCCATTAAGGGTGTAAATACATGTGCAGGTAATCGATCTCTCCACTGAATTTCCTCAAATCTTGCAATTTTTTTCGACTGTTCAATAAGCTCCGACAAAAGCTTTCGAGCAAAATCAATCTTACCAATTCGTGCATTTCCATTGATTAGTATAGCGTAAGTGAAGTGTGTAGGCTCAATTTTTTGCTTGATCATGTCCTCGTAAATCTCAAACACTCGGGTCAAATTTTTCTGTTTGGCATACGCATTAATTAATATGGTGTAAAGATGAACCTCTGGCTTTATAGCGCTAGATTCCTTCACTTTTGCCAGCAGTGATTCGGCGGCCTTCAGATTTCCAACTCTACAGAATCCCTCCATGAGACAACTATAGGTATGAGAATTTGGTTTTAAATTTAGTCGAAGCATTTCTTGAAATATCGATCGAACAGAATCAAAATCATTGTTTTTTGAATAAGCATTCATGATGATATTGTAGGTCACTTCATTTGGTTCTATCCCAGAAATTCTCATATTTCGCATGATCTTCTCTGCCCCATTGATATCCTTCGTCCATGCGTAAGCCTTAATCAAAGAAGTATACGTATATACATTTGATCGAATGTCAAATGCTTTCATTTCATTAAACAACAGAGTCGCACCAATAGGATCAGATCTCTCAGCGAAAAGTGAGATTAATCCGTTATAGGTGAATTCATTTGGTTCAATTCCGGTATTCAGCATTGTCCGACATACTTCAAAGGCTTTTGACACATTGTATGTTCGAGAGTATCCTGTAGTTAGTAAATTATAGACAGCAATATTAGGATCAAATCCTTCCTGGACCATTCGATTAAACACTTTTTCCATTGCATCTGTATCATTGACATTGGTGAACAATCTGAGCATTGATGTGTACGTTTCATAGTCAGGTTCAATCCCACTTTCTTTCATTCTAGTGACCAGTGAAAGCGTTGAATTTACTTTTCCAAGGCTCGAGTATCTATCGATCAATTTATTGAACATTCGAATATCCATCTTATATCCTTTCTTCAACATTCTAACCAGGAATTCATAATTTTTATCCAGATTTGAAGTCGATAAATACAAATCGCAAATAACTTCACAGGCTTCTTCATTCAAAACCAATTTCGAAGAAATCAATTCATCAATCATCCACAATGCTTCTTTTGTTTGATTTTTATCATTCAGTCCATTTATAATCATTAAATAATCATCAAGTTCTATTTGAAGTTCTGATGCTCTCATGTTAAAGTATAGTTCGAGAGCTTCATTTAATAGCCCATTCTTAGCATATCCTATTAACACTTCCCTTGCTAAATCAGCGTCAACAAGCTGTCGCTTCACTAATTGGTTAAAATTTGATATGGAACCACTACTCATATTTTTCGTGAAAATTCGTATTAATGTCTTTTTTGTAATCGAATCCCCAACAATTTCTTCTTTCTTCATCATCTTAAGAATGTCTTCCACTTGATCAAGATTATTTTCTTTTTCATACGCTTCGATCATAGAATTGGCCGCCTTACAGGATGGATTCATTCGATAGATTTGGTCAAATAGAGCACGCGCATCTTCCAAGTTTCCATCACCTACATATGCTTCTATTAAAAACGTGTGCTCATCCTGTAATATCTCGTATCCATGTAATCTCATGTGATCGAGCATAGTTGATAATTTTTGAATGGCCTCTATGCTAGATTCCTTTCTTAATATGTGATGCATTAACGCGTGAATCTGTTCTCGACTCAAGTTTAAAAGTCTTTTATTCGTCACAATTTGCATATAAGTTGTCCATATCTCTCCAATATTCGTGTCATTATTTTGAAGTTGACGATTTAGAGTTTCTTCGAGTGATGATGACTTTCCTTTATTCTTGCTGCTTCTTGATGATTTGGAGGAATAGCATGCCAAATTATATATCGGTAAATTCATAATCGAAAAAGATTTCTTATAATTTATGCGAGGAATCTCCGTTGATAGTAAATGACTACTACAAATTGTCAAACGACTTTTTAGCTGGCTTCGTGACAACGATAATTTATAAAAGTTTAAATCGATCCATAAAAATTGAGCTTTAGACATTCTGCTGGTTCTTTTAAAGTTATTTTTTCTTCGGTTACCTCTTTGCCATGATACGAGAATACGTTCAAAAGTTGCAGCAGCACACGTATTAGGATATGGTGGCGGTTGTCGTTGAGAAAAGTTTCCATGAGAAACTTTTCTGCGTTTATAACCGAGCATATATAAAAAGATATCGGTGGCATTAGAATTACAAGAACCTGTTCGCCATATGTTGGCAAATGATACAATAACAGGAGCGTTCCTTGATAGAGAAGTCGCGGTCTCACCCAATACATTATTATTACAAGATCTTTGGTGTAACTTTAACAATAAATTACGATGCTTTATTTGATGACGTTTACTATCGTCGAGTATCCTTTTAAACCCAAAAGTTTTGGGTGGTAAGCAAGAAATGTGCATGAGGTGTCTTTATAAATAAGGCGGTACTTTGCAGAGAATTTTGATGATGCACATGATTTTTTTTGAACATCCACGTCGCGAAATTTTCTCTTGTAGATCATCAGTTTTTTTATGTCCACGTGAGACTTTCTTTTTTTATGCACGTCAAAATAATAATATAAATGCTAACCGTTCGTTTCCCTTTATCATTATTGATCTTATCATTGTTATGACTTTCTTTTATTGTTCCTTTCTGATAATGGTAACAACGGTAGTGAGAATGCCTTCTCTTGGTTATTTCATAAAAAAACGCGTAGAAAATTATTTATTGTAACAATTAAACGCGTAGGTTTTCTCATTTTTTTTTTATTCATTCAAACGAGTAGAAACTGCATTCCTTTGTCTTTTTTTTGCGCAATTTCTCGTGCTTGTCTTTTTTTTTTTGATCAAATTTATTTACGTCAATGAATTGTCTAAAGAGTCCCATTGAGTGAAAACATTCATTTCTTCCGGTTTAACTTTCCAAAATCACGCGATTGTCAAACTGGCAATTATTATTTTTCGCTATACATACAATTAATTGGTAAAATCCAAAGTAAGATCGCATAACAATGAAAAAATCAACAAAGACAATGTTGTGTGTTAGATGATGTAATCAAACAGATGTCATTACACGCAACAAAAAGATGGGAAAATTTTTAAGTTTTTTTAAGCATTGATGCATTGATCCATAATTTCAAAAAGAGCGAAAAAAAAAACCCATAGATCCTTCTTTATCTCCGCGTGTTGTGTGCGTGCAAAATAACATCATTGACAACTCCGCGCTTTATTTTCTTAACATAAAAATCATGTTAAGAAGGAAAGCACATAATTTGAACAGGACGATTATTCTTTCACACATAAATAACCAGCTCGCACGTTACTTTACGAAATTTTCTCGACAAATTGATTAAATCGATTACTGAATCAATCAGAACTGATCATATTAAACTTCTATTCGTGTCGCACGCACACATGTGGTGCTATTGTTCTCTCTTGAATTGTATAAATAATTAATTAAACATGATATTTCTTCACAAAAGATAATAGCAGATTTCTACATAATAAATATTTAATTATCGCTTTAATAATAGAAAATAAAAAAGAATCAACCAATCAATCATCGATCACATGGATGCGTATTTCTTTTGTTAATGCGATAAATAATAATAGCATAACTTATGCCATTCATGATTCATAGGAATAAAAAAATCAGGGCTCGGTCGTGGCAAGGTATCAAAAAAATTTAAAAAATAGCATTATCCCCGAAAGTATCGCTCATCTCCATTTCTCCGATCCCATTTTCTTTTACCTTCGCCACTTTTTTCTACCATATATCAGAATCAATTGCAATCGATTATAAAATTTATATATAGATCAATCAACGACCCTTTCTTCACACATTCAATTTCCTATTGTGAGAAATATTAAGAATGACAATATTTTGCATATAATAAATATCGTCATCAATCGCATCAACAACAAAAAGAAAGAGAACTGAACTGCGCAGCATTAGTGCATAATAAAAAAAATTTACATGTATATCGATATATGTGTTTGTTAGATAATGATTTTTTGATAATTGTTGAGCAATGATGGGAATGATGATGATGTTAAATAATTAGCAAAACAACCACCTCACCAACAAACAAAATTCATATAATTTCTCTCAACTATTATTATACCCACTACATACACACATTTATTAAACAGCACCAAACATCAACAAATAACACGGGATAAAAGTTATTCATTATTATCATTATTGATGGTTTAACTTTGCTGGTTGCATGGTTCTCTCTATTAATTGCTGCCCATTTTTCAAACATACACACACATTTATACATTCTCACATTTTTTTTCTATCCCTTTCCCCCCTTTTCTACTATTATTCTGCCAACAGACAGACAAACTCTTAAATAAATACTCTTGCCGTCTCACTCTTAAAATTCTTTCTTACTGTGATTTCTGTTCTTCTTCTTTTTTTACTCCCTCCTCCCACATATATATATATATATATATATATACATACATATATACATATATATATATATAGACACGCGTTCAATCAGAATAATCATAACATTCCCTATATTTGGTTTACGTACGCATATATCAAATCTTGAGAGGTGTGTGTGCATAAATACACACACACACACACCCTTTCACAAAAAATCAAACGCACACACGTACACAACTTGCTTTTCAACTCCATAAACTTAATTTAAATTAAAATATGGTAGAAACGGTAGAAGGTAAATCAAAACTAGTTACCGTAGTATTCCTATTATATGAAATTATATTAATCAGAAAAAGAACAATAAAATGTATATGCTCTTTTAATGCGATTGACTAAATTTCTTATGGTTTTTTCTCTTTCCTTTACGGTCTTGTAACTACCCAAATCAGCAGCGGTTGGTCACTATAACAGTCACTTTCTGAATAACAACGACCTCAACAACGTTGAAGAAGAAACCGACCAAGAAATGACGCCGTTCTCCGCCTTTCGACAGGTAACAAAAAGTAGTACTGGCGGAACAAGCAGTCCTATCGAGGGAAGTAGTGGTGTACTTAGCGGTGGTGGCAGCAGCAGCAGCAGCAGTGTTGGAAGTCGTGCTTTCTCGACGTCACCACCACCTTCGAGCACCGCCACACCATTATCATTTACTAGCTGCAATGGTTTCGGTATGGAACCACCGCAAAGTTATACGCGACATGTCGTCGGACAAGTTGTCTCGCGCGAAACTGTCACAACAATATACGGGGATCCACCACAAAATTATTGGGTAAGTTAGTTGATTAATGGTTAGGGTGGTGGTTTTTCAAGCAAAAATTTCATGTCTGTCACAATAGCAAAATTTGAAAAGTAGTGAAACCAAAAAACGTGGCATTTTGTGTTGCAAATTAACCGTGCGCGTACAACTTTAATTATGATCGGGATTTACAATTTTGTGCTTGTGTAAATGCAGTGCTTAAAAAAAAACCCCCTATTTATATGCATTACTTTTCTTAACGAAAATTTTCTTCCGATATGATTTCTTCTTTAGCATCAACATCAGCGACAACCAGGACAAACATGCTACGTTTGTCGTTGCTCAATTAGTGTTGCGGCAGCGCCAGAAACTTTGATCCATTGTTCCTCAAACAATTGCAATATCTGGGCACATCAAGGTAATAATCATCATCGACGACGATTAAATTCTATATATATACGCGAAAAATATTTTACATTACATTCCAAATTAAGCAAATAATTGCCATTTTGGATTTTTTCTCACATTAACTTTTTTTGAACTACTAAAAAAAAAATTATCCCCAGATTGCATGCTACGATATGGTCTACTCCACGGTATTAATAACCACCAAACATGGTTTTGCGTCAGATGTAAATCCATTGAAGACGTCGTAAGCACAAATTAAATCGCCATTGTTGAAAAATTTTTTGTTTATAAAAATGGAAATATTCATTTGTTTTTCAATACGCGACAACAGCGTCGTCTACCACCAATTGAACGAGTCTTCGAAGAACCAGTGTCCGCCACAACTTCTCCACACCGAGTAGTGACCGCAACAGCCAGCAGTACTCCGTCTTCCTCACATTTGCAAGCATTCAAAGGGTTCTCACATTCTTCATTGCCACCAATCATAACACCAACACCACCATCAACTAATTGCAGTGCGGGTAATGAGAGGCGTGTAAACCCTTTGCATTTACTATTGGCAGCTTCGGACCAGATAGTAAGTTCTTTTATCCATTACCCCCCCCCCCCCCCCTTTTTTTCCAATAGGATAACTGCTTACATTTCTTTAAATTATTGACCTACGCTCCTTTCGAATTAGGAAAGCACCGACCCTTTACCTTCTATCTCTTCATTTCCAAGACACCAAGAGTACATTAAACAACAACAGCAACAGCAGCAGGCTTCATATTCATCCCCAATCTATTCACGAGAAAATTATCACTCTTATAAATATTCCGGAATAAATAACATACAATTCTATTCGCCTGCGCCTGCTGTCGTTCCTTCAACCTCGGAGAAATCAATTACAAGAGGAAACACTAATATTTATATCAACAACAATAATAAAGGCAAAAAATCTATGAGTCACAACAACAGCAATGTGGATATAATGAAAAAATTCGAGAGAGAATATTCGGCTTATGACCAAGGTAATAAAAATTTATACTCAATATTCCTTAACAATCCCTAAAATTCATTGATCCTGCATAATAGAGCGCATCCTCAAAATACGACATCTAAAGCGTTCAAGATCACGTCAATCACAAGTCCTTGGCGCATTAAACGAGTCACTGAACAAATACTTACTAGAGCAATCAAGGGTAGTCACGACCTACAATACCCTGCACGAAAATAACCAACGGCTTAATACCGCACTGAAAAAGCTAAAATCTGCTCTAGTCGCTCTGGCGAAAGAGAAACCGGTATTACGCGTCTTACGGAAGATTAGCAGGAATGATAATCTCCAAGAAAAAGATTTAGACGAAGAGCGTGTAGTGAATTTGTTTATGCAGATTGGGCCGCAATATAAACTTGAATACGAGGATGGAATGGTTGGTGACTGTAATGATAATAACGATGATGACAACAACAACAACAATAATAATGATAACAATGTGGATTGTGATCTTAATCATCAGAATATGGACGATGCTTCGTCGAATTCTAGTTATCGCACACCCGATTTATCGCCAACATCTTCAGTCTCATCTTCTGGCTCAATGGAAAACTACCCTTCTTACATATCGTGTTACAAATGCGAACGGCAGCTGAACGACAATTTCATCACTTGCACACAGTGTCGCCAACATTTCCATATACATTGTTTCCGAGCCTCCAAGGAATCATTGACTGGCTCAAACATGTGTGCCATTTGTTCTCCTAGTCACCTTTCCTCGTCAACGACTAAGCGTAAGAATGCTGAGCAGGATGCTCCCTCAACACCTGCATTACGTTCCGGCAAAAAACGTCAAAAAGTTGCAAAAACACGTCGCCAACAAGCAAAAACAAATGTCACGTCCAGTGGTGATGCTGAAGAAAATAATCACGTCTCAGACCCTCAAAATTCAAATAATGCACAGTTGGCAAACGGGCGAAAGAGTAACAATAATAACAATAATAGCAATAATAATCATCATCATATAAACTTGCTATTAAAGCCCACGGAAGAAGGTGTCGAAGAGAACTCGTATGACAATCATAGTAATGTCGTTGAAAGTCACGACACAAGAAGAGACTACGATAATCTCTCGATTAATGAAAGTTTCGACAACAATGCATCATCACCTCTTTCGGCGACACCATCAAGCACGATATCGACAGATTACGGCCCAGATGCTACCCGACAGCCAGCAAGGTTCGAAGGTGACATGTAAGTTATCTCACATAAATTAGTAATAAATATTTATTATTTATTATTAATTAAAAAAAGTTAATAAACATTTCCCCCCTTGGATATTGTAATATCAAATTATTTTTAACATGCAAATAATAAGATAATGATAATTGTTTTTGTTTGAAAATAAGTAATGGGTTTTCTCTTAGAATAGCAAGTAAATAAATAAATATTTTTGTTTGTGTTGTGTTCTTTCTTTAGGTATACTCCTCGTTGGGTACGTGGGGTTGGAAAATCGAAGGAAGGACTGTGCCCTCATTGTAACCCTCCTCGTTGGCTAAAGACAAAAATTTCGGCTTATTGGTAAGAAGAGGATTGTCTCTTTTCCCAAATTAATCATCACTAAATTTGTAAAATCTGCTAACATATATGCAATAGGTATCACCTAAACTATCAACATGGAATCTCATCGATAACGGGTCGACCATTCGCTGCACCACTGCAAGAGCGTGAGAATAAAAAATCGGGTATGAAAGAAGCATTATGTCATAATTGCAATAAATGGATATTGAATCAGTCGCCGAGGGATAAAGAAGTTTTGGTGCCAGAGATCTACTGGTAAGTTAATTTTCTTTGGCTCGATTTATGTTTTGTAGAATTTGGCTAAGTTTCTTTTTTTAAAAAAAAAAAAAAAAGGTACAAACACGCACAAAAATGCCACAATTCGTTATGAAAAAACGTGATAATGGTGGTTTTTTGTTTTTTTGTTGTTTTTAAAAAAAATACTCATTGCGTCTTTACACTCGCTCGAGTGGATTGGTGAATATATACGTGAACATTACTACTGACTATCAAAAAGAACATTTTTAAATTTCAAAATTTTTTTTAAAAGCACGAACATTTGAAAAATTTTTCCAACAAAAAATTTCAACAAAAAAATTAACACTGTAGCATGTATGACTGGCTTAACGCGATGGAGTTCATATTAATTTTTAGTATTTTTTTTTTTGTTTTTTAGTAGTATTACTATTAACCTAAATAGTTATCTAGTGCTTAGTGTTGGGTCCCTTTTTTCAAATAAAAAATTTGTCCCTATAAATAATCGCTCTAAAATGGGATTACATATTTATTGACATGAAATTCAGCATTCCGGTTAGACGAAACGTACTATTAACAATATCTACATGATACATGTACAAAACTTGACATTCTTTGTCTTAATTATTAGAATTTCTACGAGCAAACCAAACCCTATATGCCGTAGCTGCCGAAAAGCCATAAGCAAAAACGGCAATAAATGCAAAGAATTCTGCCGCTTTGGGACTACTACAGGTTGTCCTTTCCCAACCATGAAAATTACTACAATCCTGATCAGCGGGCGTATTAATCGCCCCAAACACCACGTAAACCAAATACGCACATGACCAAATGAACGACGTTAACCCTTCCAGCAATGCGTATTTTAGGTTCGTATCGATGATAGAAATCGTTGAAATTACTGTGCCCGTGCAAGAGACCACTAGTCCATAGATGACCCAGTTTGGAATATTGTCGTAAAGCTGTTTGTGGCCGCCTGCGGTGGTGCCTAGCGTAATAACTGCTATTATTCCGCAGATTATTTCAAAGTAGCGTACTCCGCTTACGAATTTTCTTGATGGTTGGTATTGGTCTAGTGATGATTTGGGGATCATTGAAGGATCGTGTTTTTCATGAGTTGCCATCTTTACTCTTCTATTATTATTGTAGTTTGATTTCGTTTTGATAATATTTTACGACCGAACGAGAATGATAAGTAAACTGTTCAAAATAATATCTCTTCTAGATTTGTTACTTTTAGAAATATTTAATAAAGAATCAGACAATGCATTTATGCTGTTCTGTCGTTTTCCCTCTTACCCACAGGTCATTTATATATTTATAAAATTCCGTGAATATCGTTACATTTAGGTGTATTACTAATACGTCATTATATCTTTTTATTTTATTATACATTAATGTTTTTTGTATAATATAAAATTCAGGGCTCGTGATAACAGTATCGGAACGGCTGACAGCGAATATTAAAGATGAATATTTGGTTCATCATCAAAGTTTCCGTTAACAAATGACTTCGTTCGGGAAAATATTAATTGCAATGCAAACTGAGTAGTTTTTAACGTTAAAAAGTAAATCTTTTAATTGCTTGTCTCGCGGTTAAGTTAATTGATGGTGGTTATTGATCTAGACGATTGAAACAGGAATGGCGATACTTTACATCATCGTCGTACCGGTACATTTCAAAAATTTTACCGTTATCCGATAATACGCGTGATTTTTGCTATTATCCTCGATCAAATTTCTTGGCAAAATGACCTTTTTGGGTAAATGTCTTGGCAAAAAGTAGGTAAACAGAAATTAAATATCTTCCATTCATAGCTTCCAATTTTTGCAAAGGTCGTATATTGAAAACATCTGACCATATGCAATGACATCATAACGCATGGCGAAAAAATGTCGGGTCATGTGATTTTTTTAAGGGGTAAATCCAATCAAATCGCAAGATCAATATGTAACGAAAAAAATTCTATTATCAGTCACACACGTAAAAATTAAACATATTATATCGATCGATTTGAAAAATCGATTAATCATACATATGAATTTTTTGTCCAAAGTCTTAGCCAAAACGCACAAAGTTCCCTAAAACAAAATTATTGTTGAGGTTTCTATGAACAGAGCAGTGCAAAGATCACGAAAAACTAATGTCTTTCTGTAAAGTGAGACGCCTTCAAAATTAGCATTCATTTTGCCTATTTTTGCTAGATTATTCTTTGGCTCACAAATTCTTGCCATAAAAAGTGATTCACCAGACGCGCCCAAACAATAACCATTTACAAAGTTTTATCTCAAGGGATTAGTACATTACAAATATGCGGAAGAAAATTAGGAAAAGCTGTTTCATGGTATAGTATAGATAACAACATTTCTTTTAATTAACAAAAATTTTTTTTTATGATTATTAGAATGTATTCATTCAGTCAAATATGAGTCAAAATGTATGCAAGATTTAAAATTTCTTATCTGTTTAGGCAAATGCTAATTGTTCTTAGCCAGTACTTCAAGATTTAACTGAATAAAAAAAAGATAATATAAAAGTTATAATGATAATTTGCTTTGGATTGTATAGATTTTAACATAATATTTAATTCAGATTTATTCCAAAGTATATTTACACATACCTTTTTTGATCCCTTATATTGGTTATACCATCAATCTCAAATTTGCTTTGGTGTTCAATAATTAATATATTATGATAACTTTTCCATTAGCTTATTGACAACTTCTTTAGATAATATAGTAGAGTCTTTGTATACTTCAAGCTGTTTCAGATATTATTTTTCAATCACTATGAATTTGTATTTTGTTGAACATGATATTTAAAGTGTAGATCCAAAAAACAGATCAATTCTAGATAATAATATTAATTGCAAGTCTTCTTTATTAATTTTTTTAACTTTCATATTAATTAATTCTAGATTAATTTCTTTAACTTTCATATTAATTAATTCTGAAACTTGTACAGAATTACTATCTTCTGTTTTTATTCTTATTTCTAATATATGATCAGTCTTCTTCTTCTTTGTTAGCTTCATAGGCATTAGATCTTATATATCTCATTCTGCTTTTACTTGAGAAATAGTATAATGAATATCTTACTCAATAATAGTAATTATTCTTTTGATTCCTAAATTATAGCAAGTAAATATTATTATTATGCATATGTAATTATTTTAAAATGGTAATAGTAACTGTGTTCATAGCAATTATTTACTTTTATAGCTTTAAGAAATTATACAACTGATTATTTTCTCATAAGATAATATATGCAAGAATTACTTCTAATAAAATATAATTATCTTTTCAATAAGATAATTTATATAAATTTACTTCTAACCAAAATATAATTATCTTCTTAATAAAATAATATATGTGAATTTACTTCTGATTAAAATGCTCTTTCAATAGAGCAAAAAGAAAATAAAATAAGATATAAGATAAAATATGTGTGTCTTATTAAAGAAAATACTAATTAACTACTCTTAACTCAGTAGCTAATTCTTTCTACCAAACTTAATTATTCTTCTTGATTACTTCTTGACTCTTTATATATAATATTTTTCTTGTTACGCTAATTACAAATTATTTCTAACATAATATTTCACTTAATTTAATCAAGAACAAGTAAAATTTCAAAAAAATAATCACAAAGAATATTAAATACATAATAATAAAGAATTTAAAATTAGCAAAATATTAAATTATTCAAAGTTAAAGTAAGAAATGAAAGAAAATTAATAATAATTAATTAGGAAATTATTAATTTAATAAAACTATAAATTA